ACGAGATGAAACGATTTTCAGGGCTAAATCACAGCCTAAAGATTGCTTTTATGGTTAGAATTCTGTCTAAATTTCTGAACTAAATTTTCTGAAGTTTTGCTTCTATATAGTGGTTTTACAAGAAACATAAAAGTCTCTCCAAGTTTTGTCTTCGATCTCATGACCAGCATTCATTTTCCAGTTACATTTATTCTTTTATTAATTATTTTCTTTGATTCAAAGAATCGGATGAAGAAAAGGTCCATCATACGATTTCAGCACGGGAGTCACGGTGGTTCAGTGAGTAACACGCTGGTTCGCTAACCTTGAGGTCCCGTGTTCGACCCCGTCGTTGGCCGAGAAAGTTCCTCGGAATTTTCCGGCGTGGTTCCCACTTGTCAGTAATACAGGACGGAGGGCCTGGCAAGAGACGGCGTATAGTCGTTCGGATTGTGCAAAAAACCGAGGTTCCGTTTACACATTGGCGTGTACATAAAAGAACCCCTGGCAGTTGGAATTTGATATAAGAGTAGGCCGTGGCGCCGCTGTCCGGGAAAAATTTCCTCATAGCACACTGTATGGCGTATGCCCGTCTTCATTCAGCACAAATCATAGGTCAGGTCGAACAGGCGTGTCTTGACGTATCGTATTTTCTGTGTAAATACTGAACGGTCATTTAAGACTTATTTCCTTTTAGAGATTCAAGTTTAACAATATCGTATTTGCAAGGGATTAACCACCAGAAACTTTAACATAGAAATAAAACTTACGCAAGAAAAACCCCGAGCTCGCAAAAAGGGAGACAACCCAAAAAAGACGAAAGGGAAGTATTTCACAAAAAATGTATTATTTTAGCGTATATCATGATCTGCTGTGTGTTGTGTGTTTACAAAAATATCCCTATGTTAGTTCACTGAAGAAAATTATTTAGATCTATTCAATTTGTATAAATAAGGCAATCTATACATGCAAAGCCCGACAGCATAGCCGGTAATCGATGCGTTCCAGGCAATGTGTTTGAAGAATACATAAAAAAGCCAATTACTAAGCATAAAAATGTAGCAATCCTAAAAATGCGATATGTTATAATATCTATTAACTATGATGTTCATTTTTATTGTTATTACCTATTATTACTTACAACTTTAACAACCATTAATTTCCTACTTGTTGTTTATCGTGTTATTTATTATTGGGTGTATTTATAGCACCTACATTCTTATGACGTATTTTCCTATTGTTTGTATTTATAGAACCTACATTCTTATGACGTATTTTCCTTTACAATAACCATATTTTTATATAAATGACAAGACATGTTATCTAAATACAGTGAACACAATAGTCTAACGTGTACCTGACATTTATAGCAGTGGGTTGGAAAGATATCTAATTATACTCGAATGTGTATTTTATATCAATTTAGGTATAGGGATTACATGGATTATCTTAATCTATCAGTTCATCTATTTATAAGACCAGTACTACTTGGGATTATATGGGGGGGGGGGGGTGATTCGGGGCACCCATTGATGATGAGTGACCCCGAAATAACAATTTGGGAGCTAATACGTCTGATTTAGTGCAACTAATCCAATTGTCGGTTTCAGTGTGAGGGAAATCACTGCGACCTGGGTCCTCGTAACTTATAACTTGTAACATTTCGGATTGTCTGGTGACGCAGTGTATTAAGTGTTGGCTTGCTAATCAGGAAGTCTCGGGTTCGATCCCGGTATTGACCGAAAAGGTTACTCGTGGCTTCTCCTTGCAATTGGTATAGAGCGGAGGACCTGATAAGTAACAGCGTTTGGTCGTTCGGATGGAAGACAAACTGAGGCCCCGGGTGCACACGGGCGGGCATTTAAAAGAACCCTTGCCAGTTGAAATTCGAAATAAGAGTTGGCCGTAGCACAGTTCATTGTGTATGTGCGTATTCATTAGCCCGGTTGGTGCAGAAAACCCTATGTCATTTTCGCTCCTTCATTCCATTATTTTGCTGTATCTATGCACTGTCTTTTCTCTCTTAATTAGTCAGGTCAAAATACAATAACCCTAAAAAAATTGCTACAAAATGTTTCTCAACTGATTCTGGCAGGGTTTAGTGTAGTTTATAACATACTAAAAGTTTACCAAAGTAGGACCTCCAGAAAAGTGGGTTTTTTTTTCAAGATGGTGTCAAAGATGGCCACCGAAACGTCTTAATGATCATAATTATGTAACTATTAACCCAAATTTCATGTTCTTGGGGTCTATTCCTAGGTTGGGGGGGGGGGCAAAGAACTCATTAAGATCATTAAAAATAATGTTGGCCTATTATGTCAAAAATGGCCGCCAACACCTCCACTCCGTAACTATTGACTCAAATTTGATGATCTTGATGTCTATCTCCAGGTTTTTGGGGACAAGGAACATATTAAGACAACTTTGGATGTCACCGAGCTGTTCAATCATTACGAAATTGAATTCATGACCTTCAGCTGTCCACTATCACCTAATGCACAAACACCCTTGTCCATAGAATAAGTATCAGAGCGTTCAGTTTTGAGTGTTATCCTCCCCCTGAGTATCGACCTTTTGAGTGTTGTTTGAATTGTCACAGTTTTCAGTTTGACAAAGGGCCACACACATAGTTAAGGTCGTAAAATAGATAGATAGTAGATATTAAAAAAATGTGTCTCGGTTGTCAAATACGGAAAAAAGGAAAACTTAGTAAATTATTAAGATGTCTTTAAAATATCTGTCAGCCGTGTGCCAGGTTAATGCAGACAGGTATAGAGCAAAAGATCGATGTAATATATGTAATATAAATATCACATGGCTCCCGAGGGTGATGGGGGTGGGGTGGGGTGGATGGCCGTATGGTTAGCAGCCGCGCGCTGTTTCATAAAGCCTGTCATTGAGTCAACTGGCGTGGTTTCGAATCCACGGTTGTACGTGACAAGGAGTACGGTGTCCTCCCACTGCTAAAGACCCCAAATAAAATTAAACCATATGTTAGTCCCGAAATGACCTAGTTTGTGTCGAGTGGACGTTAAACCCCATCTCTCTCTCTCTCACACACACACACACACACATGGCTCTCGGGAGATATAAAGTCTAAAATATCAATAACAACTTTAATTTTCTATTTAATCATGTGTCAACTATAAATAAACACAATTAAATTACTCTTATCACTTATTCTGACAAGATTTATTATTATATTAATGTCAAGATTTCTGTCAAATCGAATTAATGGTATTTACATATCTTTCCTTTTAGTATTGAGGTATGGAGTATGGCCGGCTTGTCAACGCCTACCTGTGATCGTGGAGTTATCGACTTGTGTGCATGCCAGCCAGAATCAAATAAAGCTTCTCCATTCGCTCCAACGATAACCGAGGATCGCTGTAAGGGAAACACGGCAAATCACTGATTGTGAAAACATTGTCAGGTTAAACAGCGACAACCGAGTCTTACCAATATTGATGTCAAATAGCTCGAAGCGCTTTCAGCTTGAATAATGTTTATTTAAACATATAGTGATTTGGGACGGTGTATTTAACAAGTTCCTGACAGTTTGCTACCACTAAAATCAATGTCATCAAGTCTGTGATGAATCCTAAATTTTGTTGGAAATGACAAATTGGTCTGGGATTTTTAAAAACCAGATTGGCGCTTACCGTATCCACCAACAGACCTTGAATTGTTAATTGGAGTAAATCTTTAATACACGATTAACCAATGTTGTATTTTTTATTTTTAATTAAGAATTTTTTTTTTATTTAAAATAAGTTAGAATAGACGAGGGATTGTCACTAAAAGTTCGGATCATTCTGGAGTAGTTCAGTTCACTTAGTATTGATCCGCGGTTTTGCATCTTGTAGAGAAGTAAATTTAGCCAATTCCGTGGAGCATATCACGAGATAGGACCAATTAAGTTACGTACTTACATCAAACAGTACTGGATGTCCCATTAGTAGGACACACCTTAGCCTTAAAAGTCAACAATTTTTACGGAAAACGAAAAAAGTTGAGAGGCTGCTATTAAAGATGATACGAAAAGGAGGAGTTTCTGATATCTGTCAAACTTAACAGTAGTTATCGAACGCATTAGACTCGGAATATTATTTGAGAGAAAAAGCGAAAAATTTATATACGTGGAAATACGGAAGTGGAGAAATGCTACAGTAGACGAAGGGTACCAGAAAATAATCAAACTGTATTAGTTAGTGACTGTATTGATCGGCTTAGACGAGGCTGATAAGAATTGGGATGAAACTGATAATCTGAAGAACAGGACTTGATAAGAAGTAACGAAGGGATTAATTATAAGTCGTCCAAGCCAACACCTGTCTGCGAAGTTTGTATGATATTCTTACTCACGCCTCATCTGTTTTGATACACAGCCCTATAGAATTGTAGTGAAGCCTAATATCCCAGCAGTACCGTGAGTATTTCTTGCGAAGAGAGGTTGGAAAAAAACATAAACATAACAGACACCAATCTCTTCATTTGCAGCTATCGGGATAAAGACGAATGTGGATTTTTTCAGCTACCGTTTTATCGCAAACGTGCATATTGGAATAACTTTAAAAGTGTTTTTGTTAACGAAACTTTTCGAGAGTTTTCCAAAGAGTACATTTTGTGTTACATATCGCTTTGTATTTCATACGTTAAAAATCGTGTCTGAAGTGCGGGAGTTTTAACATATTGCATTTTATTTCCTCGTTGAAAAAAATCTAGCTTTCCGAAGACTATTTAAAACAGAGAATGAAATAACTTTTCTATTATATTTTCAAATATTTTAAAGACTATTCAAGATGAGTTTAGCAGAGTTTAGCGCCATAATGGAGTCCCCTGACGAGGAAAACGGTACCTTAAAGTATAATGCATCAACTCTGCTTTCCTCTACTGACAACTACACTTTTTCTGAGGAGCCTTACGAGGTACCCCCGGGCATCATCTTTCTACTGGCTCTTGTTTACGGCATTATATCTTTACTTGCTGTGATTGGTAATGGCATTGTTATACTGGTTATCGTTAAAAACCGTAAAATGCAAACAGTTACCAATATATTTATCGCTAATTTAGCTGTTGCGGATGTTGTTATTGGAATGTTTTCGGTGCCATTTCAGTTCCAAGCTGCGTTGCTGCAACGTTGGGTTTTAGCCCATTTTATGTGCTCTCTAGCTCCGTTTGTTCAAGTCATCTCCGTTAACGTTAGTATATTCACATTAAGTGTCATAGCGTGTGATCGCTATATTGCAGTACTGCACCCGTTTAAAGCAGGATGTTCTAAAAAATCTGCGGCCATTATTATAACTGTTATTTGGTGGGTGGCAATTACCACTGCTTTGCCGTATGTTCTCTTCTACCGAGTTAAGCACATGGGGAATACCTTGCAATGCCAACCCACCTGGCCTGACTTTTGGGACTTATTTCCTTCATTTTACAACTTATTCCTGGTTTTTATCCAATACATATTACCACTTATCGTCATCAGTTTCTGCTATTTCCGGATCGCCAGCCATATTTGGGGAGCCCGTGCACCCGGGAATAATATAAACACGGAAGACATCAGAAGCCGTAACAAGAAAAAGGTAGGTTCGATTTATTAAATCTATATAAAGGTCCGGTGCACACTATTTTGTACCAAGGCAAGCAAGTATCCATTATCTAAAATCGTAACTTAGTAGGTCCAGTGGTATTATAGCAACGGCCCAGTGAGTATATAAAGAACAGACTTCGAATGTTGTTTTTTTACAGTTAACACGACCTAACATGAATATACTTACATGGACATACAACCACCTACTGCAAAATATATTTTTTATAAATACAATAAAGAATCCGATTGATATCCGTCGTCCGTCCATTTTCATAGATTCTCCAAAAATAATACAGGAATAATTGAATTTAGACTTCGAACAGTAACAAACACATCTACAAGATAGGTATACTATTATTGTTTTTTAAATTAATAATAATAATAGTGTGTATTTATAATGCGCACATTCCATTCGTGTACGCTCATGACACAATTGTCACCTCTCTACATATACTGAAAGAAGTTAATATGATGAAGCAAATAGATATCGTTATTTGTGACTTGAAAGATTCCAGGGTCTTTAGTTCTTTATTCTTAAAAGAAGGGAATTCCGTGGGGCTGGGTCAAAAATATTTGAGTCCATAGGTAGGTACAGTTAAAATATATTCATATGTATCTACATTTAAAATCCCATTGATTTATAAATATTTACTAAAAGATCGTTAAAAGTGTTTCGTAAAACCGAATATTATACTCTTATTTTTATGTCAAAATATTTATAAGTGCAAAGCTTTAATATTTCAAGGGGATACTTGAAAGTTCTAACGAGTTAATCATTATCTCTGAAATTAAATGAATCTTCATCGGCAAATAAGACAAGTGGTGGAGATGAATGAGGATATTTTATGTGGTTTATTTTGATCCACCGAGTACATTCATGCAAATGATCGTAGAGTCTAACATACAGGATAAATAATTGATTTAATTAACGTTATATCAAAAATAGTTCCTGCTAATCAGAATTTTGGAATATTAATGTATCATTTTGTTGCTTTCCTGTTTCTTTACAAAATTATTTTCATTGCATATCATGTAATTAGTTTTGAATAATATCTTGGACTAATCAAATTATCAAAATTAAAAGTATTGGCCAACTAAGAATATTACTAAAACAGTTGCGCGATTCGTAGATGGAAAGTTAAAACTGATATCTCTGCGCCACGATTGGGTATATCTGTCTCAAATTGAGCAAGCAGTCTCATTTCATATTGTCCCATGTAACTGTATCACGTCAAATTGAGATTATTTGCTTTTACTAAACTCCAAAAGGGTTCTCTTTAAGCGTTGAATACATCATATGAGTATAATTGATCGTTTTGTTTCAAAATCAATCATTTGCATTATAAATCAAGTTATTAATCATATCTGACTTGATCATTTATGGCATAGTGTATTCAGACAGTTTATTCTAAATCTTACTTTTATTGCGATCAACACATTTAAGTGAGTACATCTAGACTAGTTTTAAAAAACGAAATGAAATGGTGTTTAATGGCATGTCAGTATCAAGCAGGGCAGTTTTTTTTAAAAAGGCAGTAACCTTTTAATTTTGATCGACTTGATTGAATTTGGCTGTAGTGTCGACTAACATATGACCGTTGATAGGATCGCATAAATCATAGACATGTAACTTTAATGAGCTCTGGCTTGGAGCCGGGCTTGACTTCGTACCGTAGTTCTATACAAAATTAACAGACTTAGCTGTGATATTTTTTGACAAAAAATAGTAATTATTATTAATATATAATACAGTCCTGAATGGACCTAATAATAATATACTACGGTACCAAAAAGATCTAAGTAGACCTAATAACCATAAGTAAAATATACAAACAAATAAGAGATATGACAACAAATCAAAGATTTATGCCAATGGGAAAAGGTGATCAATAAATTCTCGGCTATTATGAAATAGATTCCATATGAAAGCAGGGAACCAAATGGAAACGAGTTTGCCACGGCCCACATGAAATGTGCCTTAGACTGTCTTAGCCTAAAAGCAAAAAATATCCACTAGAGGTTTGGATTTAAATTTGTGTCGGAAAGATGATAAAATATCGAAAAAACACTTAAAGATGGATATAAAGACGACACTTTAAAGGACTTGTTCCCAAATTCAACATTGCTTTCTCGTCTCAAACACTCACTTTTTCTGTTTGTATGCAATAGTAAAATGTATGTCCTATCCGGTGATTCCGAAAGCTTAAGGATATAAGCTGGGTTCGATAAGTAGAAAAATCTATGAATATGACGTTATATAAAGTTGACCTCTTTCAATTTCCTAATTGACAACGCCTCATTAAGATATCGCTCGTCGATATTCTCACATGACGGATCCTTTAGCATATCATTAATAAAAAATCTCTAATTTTTTTGAGCGTGATCCTTGTAGTTTAATAAGACTTCCTTGCTTTAATTATCAATTTAAATCCAGATGTTGGACCAGTCCAGTCCTATAATATACATATTGGATGAGTAATATATCTTAACATGTCTGATTCTTTTAATTTAATAATCAGACCGCACAAAATTCCTAGCTGTAATTGTAAATTCAAATCGAGGTGTTGAATTAACATTAACCTATGTTAATCACATATTTTGAATTATGATCATTATCAGTGAAGTGCCACAATAAGCTGAGTCTCATTTAATGACTAGAGAAGTGTTTCTCAATCTTTTGTCCTTTTAATAAATTTTGGATGATCTGTCGGTCGTCTTTGAGGAAAAGGGGATCCGTGAAAAAATGATATCCAAATATAATTCAGTAGGGAACTGTAGGTAGCTGATATCAGAGATACATTCATAGGAATGGCGATCATCTTGCTGTGGGTTTTACGAGAATGGTTGTGAACATGAATAATGGACAAACAGGATAGCTTGATGTCACAAAATACGTATTGTTTCATTCATATTTGTTTTATAGTTTAATTTTTCAGATTAAAATAGCTCATGTTAGGGTATATCAAAGATATATGTTAATGTGGTGACACACCCCTAAGACAGGGAAATCTGCATGTACATAGTGACTCATTATGAAGGGTCCTAGTATGTGTGGTGTGTATAAACGTTTTCCCCGATCTAGATCAGTTTTTTGAATAAAATATGACGTTGTACACATCGGTGACGTGATCCGCAGTAAACAGCCATGGCTGTCTCCAGTAACAGTTTCACGGTGGACCATTGACGTCTATATATATCCAAAATTATAAGCACAACCGCAAAGCTGCACTAACGTCTATATATATCCAAAATTAAAAACACAACCGCAAAGCTGCACTACTTTGTTTCACGGTAAATGATGAAAAGATAACACAAGGGGATGCCGACACAAACTGATTTCAACACTGGTTTAATAACATTTTAACATTTTAAAGTACTTTTCGTCCGTCTTGGGACTATTCATAAATAATGTCATTGTATAAAGATGGACAGTATAGTATATTTATACATATTTACATAGTAACACTGTGGTTTTAATTGGCTATAGTTACCATTGTCTATGGTTACATAGTATATCGTTAACTAATAGAAAACATGTACACACGTGTGTTAATCTCTAGTATATGGGTTCAATTTATGAACAAATGAGTGGAAGATAATCATGGGATAGATTAAAAAGAAAATTAATGAAGCTAATTGACTATTAACTCAAGCAACGTATTTTTTTGATAAAATGGTTTTCCATTAATTTCCTTTTCGTGGTGTCATCGACTTTCATTTTATAAAATGGGGAAAATTTGGAATTTTACGTGTTGGTGTTGTGCACATTTAAAGATATGTCTATTTACAATTAAGGGCCCATTTTCAATATTATAATCCTGTCGATGGTTGATACTCTATCCCGTAGATGCGTGGACGTCCCCCCATGTAAAAATTTAGACACCCATTGTAAGTCAAGACATATATGAGATATTTTGTGTCGTTGATATTTGGCGTAATATGGTCGTAACATTTACATCGAAGATCCGGGCATTTAGATACATAAAAGCTATTCCTTGTGATAGATGAATTGAATTTTGCTTTGGTTAGGAGGCGTTTGAGATTAGGTGGCTGTCTTTGTGATTTAATGAATTGAACATTATTAAATTTTATTCTGAGGTTGTCGTTTGATGCCAGGATTGCCCTGGTCTCGTACATTGTTTTAAAGAAGTTGGGGGTTATGCGTAGCGACAAAGGTAATGATATTATCCGAACTGTCTTTTGCTTTAGTAGCCCTCAGTTTTTGGATATTTATATGGTGTCAAGGGGAATTCCCTCTAAGATGCGATTATCCAAACACAAAACATTATACGGTTTTAAAGTCAGCCCCTCTTCATTAGCTCGGATGGAGCATAAACGGGGGACGTTAAACTCGATTTCATTTAGATTGATTTTAAAGTCAACGTTGTACCCTCTTGTCTCGCTCATTACAACCAATATGGTGAACTACCGTTCACGAAAAAAAACCAACTCTCAGTCCACTTAGTTGACAAGGTCATTTCCTTTCAACCAATTGGGCGAGAATTTCCACATGACCTTTGACACTGTATACCAATTTGGCGCTATTTTTTCCAGACTACATATTGCTTGAAGTCGAAGAGTAGACAATGTTGACAGGGATGATCGACACTAAATACACGCAATGTTATGTATTAATATTAAATTACCGTCTATATACATATTAACTTGTCCACGTTTTATTATTTTCATCAATTTTTTGTTGCATTTAAAAAAAAAAGTTATATTCATATATTCATGACGATAAATGGATTTGAGTGCAAATTCAAAACTAAAAAATGAAAGTTCCCAAATTATTCATGTCCATGATGTTTATTTTCATATTTTTTTTTAGAATAACTTGTAATTCCTTTTCATTTATTATTTAAAATAACTTGTAATTTATTCCCACGCATTTCAATTATGTTGAACATTGGTTCTTTGCACAGTAATGGGGATTATTACTCCCACCAGGAAGATTAAAACCAATGAAATAATATTCGATTTATCTATTTT